GAGGAGATTTGGGTCCCGTAATGCTTAAGTATTTCATGACAGTTTGAAAATTTCAAATTTTCATTTAAGTAATTAACAAATACATGTAACTATAATTTGAAAGTCCAATTTACAGTACTGTTATGGGTGCAAACAAGGCTGAAGTTGACCTCGTTTTAATACAACCCTTCCACCTTTATTTTGTAAATCATGTTGTTCTTATGCTAACGATTATTTTTTTTAGTAAGATTTTCATAAGGAAAGAAATGAGGTTTGTATCAAAACATTTCAACCTCAACCTCACTTTCACTCAGAGGCTAGGATACCAAGCCCATAACTGTAAAATGGTCTATTACATACATTTGCATGTGAACAAACTAGAAATGTGTAAAAAAAATGACTGAAATACAGCGTTCACATAACCAACTAATGCTTACCATAAACCCAGTGGTTCTTTTTGAATTAGAAAACACATCATAATTACGTTTTCATTGAGATATTTGTTTGTGACATTATTAAAACTGTTTACTTCGTTCTTCTTTTGTGAAAAAAGTAAGCGACCTCTCTGAGCAAAGCAGCCGACACATTCAGATTGGCCACTATAGAGGAATTAAGAAGCTGACATTATGAGCAATAGCCCTTCATGAGAGTGAATCCACTGACGAATTTGCTCTAACATAGGCTGAGCACTCAAAACATCAATTTCTTAAAATGAAAATTATGGGCGATTCTTGCTCCACGGTACAAATGTATACTTTTCTTTATCAGGGGTGTACTCTCACATGGCATCATTTAAATCTCCACCAAAGCCCAGACCAGTCACAAATCGTTTGCGTCATGATGGCAATTCAGAATACCCGAGCTGGGTGTCAGGACTTGGTAAAGAATATCCAAGCTGGGTAGAAGACCTTGACAGTTCTTCAAGACACAAAAACAGATCACCAAGGTAACATGGATGTATCAGTTTTGATTTAATTATTTAATCTATTAAACAATAATTTTAATGTAATATGTTTCCTTTTTTCGTTAGTTTTTGTTTTGTAAATAGTGACTGAAAAGTCTCAGGGGAGTTACTACTGATGAAAGTGTGTATCCATGTATCTAATAATTAGCACAGGATCATGTCAGTAGCTAACTGTAGGATAGGATAGGATAGCTGCTTTATTATCAACAGAGCGCCTACAGACACATGTGTTTCCAACGGTAACAAAGATTTTAGTGCAATAATTACAGAGGTGTACATTTGTAGAATTTATACAACTAGACAAGGTTATATTTAACGCGTCTTTCTCTTTCGTGGAAGCGATCGCACACGTATTTAGCTACAATTTTTTTTTCTGAGACGTGGTTCATGATTTTTAATTGATGAAGAAAGTTTTTCATGTAAGAAGGTTGCTGTCGTGGTCAGTTACAGCTACATACCGAATTATTATTTGTAACGTTAAGTTTGCCGGATGCGGGTTGAGAGTGCCCAATGGGGTTCGGCTTCAATCCCACCATCCTGGTGTGTACTTGAAATGTGATTCAATTTTATTGTTCTTTTGCAGTCCTGATAAGAAGTTCTCTGGCTCGAGCAACCATTCATCTTCTTCAGAGACTGAAATAGGAAAAAAACCGTTTATACCGAGCCCTGCTTCCAGATCCACTCCAGCGCTTAAGATCTCTGATCTACGTGGTGGACGTCGCCACCCATCAAAAAGGGTCCAGGAACCTTCCACTATAGAGATGGCGGAGACAAGGATGAACGGCGTTGATTGGAATGATGCGGCAAGCATAGACACGGACGTGCTAGTATCCCAGTCTGTATATGGACCTAATCCAGTGAACATGGGAGGTGAATTCCATAACTCTTTATACAAAGACAAAAGAGTGGCACGGCTGAAAAAAGAGTCAACTAAAAAGCTCAGAAAGAGCTCAGGTAAGGAGAAGTCCACAGAACATTCTTTAGTTCCGCAAAGAAGGTCAAAAAGTCTAACTTTTTCTCCCACGAAAACGTCAGGAAGGAATGGGGAACCATTCCGCGCGAGAGCCGAAACCAAGGAAAGTACTCCTGCACGCCATAAATTGAGGGATTTGTCCCCTGAAAGAAGTCCTTTTACTGAGTTACCCGCAAGATACAGCCTACCACCACAGAGTGATAGATATGGAGCATCAGAAGTAGCTGCATGGCATAGCATTTCACCACAGACCATAAGATACAGCTTACCACCACAGAGTGATAGATACAGAAGGGTAGTGGATCAAACCGGCTCACAGAGGTACATTTCACCTCCTGCTGTTACAAGATATTCACGGCCATTCAACCCCAAACAGGAGGAGGGATCACCACTATCTGCAACTGGACAACTATATGAAAAATTTAGTGATGATAAATCACCATCGCGGTCCAACAAACCGATGAAGATAAACATACCGAGTCGTAAGTATGACAGTGACTTAGAATCTGAAGACACCGATAGAGTCATGCGCAAATCACCTACAGGAATTAAAATGGAGAAGATTTATAGAGATCCCAGTACAATGTATCCATGGAAAAGTATGATTCAGAGTTCTAGGTCACAAGCAAATCCCGCTGAAGTGACACATTCTAAAGTAAAGCGACCCCAGTACCACTCAACGCCTGCAGTGTTAGAGGGTTCAAGTAGTGCTCCTCTGCAAGCTGGTCGTCGGAACCGTCAAAAAGACGCATTTTCAGCAGCAAGAACTACTTTTGAGGGCAGGTATGCTAGTACAGCAGATAACTTCAAATTCAGACCTCCAAAAACTGTATTCGCTAGCTCAAGTTACCGGCGATCAAGAGATGAAAAACTTGCTAAATCTGCTCCACATGCAAGGTACAGCAAACCTTCTACTGTCCCAAGGAGCAGAGTGAGGAACCTAACTCATAAAAGAAGTAAAACTGTTCCGGCAGATTTACGGCGGGTAGCCGTCATAACCTCAGCAACTAGGCCCGCAAGGCATTCTCGACGCAGTCTTGACGATGACGTCATTAGCTTGAACACGGTTGACACCGAAAGCCTCATTACCCGTCCACCTATGCCTGTTTTTCATGCCAGTCCGTCGTTAACTACAGTGTCAGATAGTGAAACATTAGTTGACTCTGAAAATGAAACAGAGATAGAACTGGATGTGGCCAGAGAGCGTCAACCGAGCTCACGTCATGTTACAGAGGTACAACATAATAGTGATCAGATTTCTCCCACTAGCGCGTTTGCGTCGACAAATCCTCACGCTGCAGTTCGAGAGAAACTTCCGGAAAGATTTCAGCTGTGGAAACTGTAAGTGTGTTATCGTAAATGCAGAGTACAAAAATAGGCCGATAGACCTCTTTAGCTGGGACCTCTACTGGGAAAACAAAACATACAAGTGGAATTTGCCCCTTTGTCTTTTCATAAATTATGCGTGCATATGCACTTGAGTAAAACGAAATATGAAAGAAACAGTTCTCTATAGTATTATCACATGACCTGTATTGGGAAAACAAAACATACAAGCTAAAAAGGTCTATTTACCAATGTATGCTAAGCAACCTAGCATTTGGGTGGAAGCTAGGCTGGCGGTGACTTTTTGATAGAACTCTAATGGCCTTCATAAACATTTGAAAAGTGGGGACACCTTCAACCTCGTTTCGTCTCAAGGTCAGCAGATTTGTCATTACTTGTCTGCTGCCATATTTTTAGACACCATATTAAATTCTTCTTGCGATCACTTTCAACATAGTTGAAGCTCTTCTTGTGACCAGTCCCTTACGTGGCCGACTCTAATTGTTTCCAAGATTGAAAACCTCCATTCATATTACTTGATAATAGCTCTACATGTCCATTTGCGCTGCTATTGTTCTGCGAATTTGTCTGTTATTACATTTGTACGTCAAATTTGACTCTTGCCACCTGTGTTTTTTTCAAGCAAACTCATAATTTACCTGACTTATTTTTGGCCCTCACAAAGTCAAATCATCAATCGAATGTACGATCTCACCTTGTGTCTCCATTCATTCTGTTCGTGCCACCGCGCTGATATACATGTATGCAAAACCACCTTTTAATATCTTCTTTGAACCCTTTATGATTTTGTATGATACAATGGTATTTTTCTCGAGGGCAAACGAAATGGCAGAATCTTATTTCCAAACTCATTTCTGAGTTGTTAAGAGTAAAAAAATTGCAGTCCTTGATTATTCTTATACGAAATGTATTTTGGTTACTGTACAGAGATGACGATACCAAGGCGCCTGACAGCTTCATTAAAAGGCGCTTTACAAGTCCTAAGTCTGGTGTCATATCATCGTTTCTGGAAGACTGTTTAAGCGTTGACAGCGATGATCCAAAGCCGACTGTAAGTTTGCATTCATTATTTTATTAATGCCTCTAAGGTCTCTGAATATGGTGATGTTAGTCTTTCGAGTAATCTGAGAGAGAGAACATCAAAAGTAGCTCTGAAGTCAAGAGTTGACAGCTACGAAATCTACGTCGAGGAACCTGTGTCAATGTTTTGTTTTAACAAAAGCATGTCCTTGAATCTGAATTGCTGCTGTATAGGGTTTGGCGAATGAATGTGGATCGGCGTCCAACACGTTCCATCCGTCTGACGGACAGAACGTCTGAAGATCGTCTCCGGAGCAAACGTCGCTCTTCACACGCGACGAACTAAACTAATAAATTAAAAATTTGTGTGATAATGTATATTTAGCCTCGTTCGGGAGGAAATTTATTAAAATTGCTTTTAGTCTGATTCATTTGATTGATTCGACGCGTCCTAAGTTCAACGTCTGATCCAACAGATGATCTTAACTTAATTTAGGTCCACCCAAATTAGAGTTTGGTTCGTGTCATGAAATGCTCGACGTTTGGCCAAGGCCCTTAATAGGTACCGACGCTTAAAATTAGAAGGTACACTAAGTTGTAAAAAGTTGTCGCTGGTATTTGTGTGGAAAGACTGTGTGTTCGGTCTCTTCGTTCAGCGGTCTGAATCATCTAAAAACTGATCTTTTGCGGTCTATTTTTGAATCCTCATAATACACTTTGATATTGTTATTGCCATTATTATACTAAGTTACATGTATTGTTTTAAATTAATGGGCATGGGAGCGTTTATGCAAAAAAAACGTGTACGCCCTAAAACGTGTGCGGCCCTTTATATCCAAAGAAACTGCAATTCAAATTTATAACGCTTTAATTATGCCTCATTTTGATTACTGCAGCCCCGTCTGGGACTGTTTGAGTGGTTACTTGAGTGATAAGCTCCAAAAATTACAGAATCGTGCAGCCAGAGTTATTACTAAATCACCCTTTGATGTGAGCTCACACTACCTTCTCTCCACCCTCAGCTGGGAGAGGCTACCTCTTCGACTAAAGAAACAAAAAGCCTTAATGATGTATAAAACCATGAATGACCTTGCTCCGGAATATCTACAAAGTCTTTTCTCTCAGCGTCACTCTGCTTACAACTTAAGATACTCTGAGGGAAGGCTGACCCTGTCCAAACCAAGCACCAATTATTTGAAACGAAGCTTCTCCTACAGCTGGGCCATGTTATGGAATAACTTGCCCAAAAACTTAAAAAATGCTGCATCCGTTGAGAATTTTAAGCGAAATATCAAGAAGATAGCTGATATATCGGATTCCCACACGACAATCATGTAAAGCAGTTGTAATTAGTTTTAGTTTTTAACTTAAGCTTAACTGATGATTTCCCGTGTTTGAATAAAGATTTACATACATACATACATACATAGGGGGGTAAACAGATTGTGTTACGGGAGATTCGAAGCATATGAAATCCAGTCGTGTCCGAGGAGTAACTTGAGTGCACATTGCATGGTGGCATCTGTTTGTTGTTTCTATTTTTAGAAAGCAGATGATAACATGCCTTCTGCAAGACTCAGTGGAAAAGAAGCCGCCCCAGGCCCCGTGGAAGCTTTGAAGCAGATGCTGTTTACTATGCAGGATATGGCACATCATGAAACATTGGACAACGGTCAGTTTTATATGGTAAGTATCATACATTAATCAGTTGAAATACGTACGTCTCGCCATTACAGTATACTAGATAGGGTTGTGATCCAGTGTGCGCTTGCGTGAACAGCTAACAATAATGTTTTATTGTGTTTCCATTTAAGAATACGGATTTCAAGACTAGAGAAGCAAAAGACTTTTCAGAGTCAGGTAGGATTTGAAGCAAATGCTTCCTAACTCGTGATCTGGGAGTTTTTGCGAATACCTTAAGCTTGAACACCTAGAAGAGTGTTGTGTGTTGCCTCAAAGATTTGCTTTGGGTTTATTTCCTGAGTACACTACAGCTGGTTATGTATAAGAAGCTTGTATCAAGGCACATAAATCTTAAGTAAAAGGGTTTATATAGCATGTCATTCAGCAATCAGGTCTTACTAAGATAGTCTATCCTTTAATTTTTATCTCCATTTGCGCAGATAACCAAAGTGAAAAGGATTCCGACATTTTTCGTGGAGAAGTATCTTTGCAAAGGTACAAATACAGTTCTTGAATGTCAGTTTACCGTTATAGTAATTATAGTGGCCATGTTATGAAAACGGTCATACATGAATTTTTGTGAACGAAGACGTATTCGTGCATCCATATGCAGAGAAATTTTTGTGACTTATATTCCCTTATTTCAATAAAATGTGACTTAGCTTTACCATACATAACAGCTTGGACGTTCTAGTTGAATTTCCTTTCCCCGGCATCTATTAATGGAGCGTATGTTTTACTTTCTGTCCGGCAGGGCGTACCATCATCTTGAGCGGCTCAAGAGACTTGTAGGAAGAGAAGATGATCGATCTTCAGTGAGTTCCGTCAGCTAGTGTAGTTAAGTATCTTCTGATCATAGTTTTGGAACAATAAAGCCTTCCTTAGTGGAAGCGGACTTTTTGTCACATCGCACAAACGTCTGGACCATGACTCTGTAAGACAACTATCCTTATTAAAAAACCTATCCAGGATTTTTTCGATCTGAAATCTGAATCGAATGCTAGTACCTGGTTGTAAATCAAGGTCGTTTTATCGGTCCTCGTAGCTTTGGGTAAAAGCTTAGCTTACGCGGAAATGGATTCATCATTTCATTTTATTGGTTAGGTGTAGCATTCGAATATATCCTAGACAATACAGTAAAGCTTAGGGCATCTAACACACTGAAAATATAGATAGTTCAAAGATCACTAAATGGTTATTCATTTTTGTTTAGCTTTTGCATTTTTGAATATTGCATGCAATCATGAGTTTTAAAACAGTATGAGACTGGGTGGGGTGATTGATTCACGAAAATTTATTGGTGATTTTAATGGCATATTTTTGACAAACTTATATAATAATCACAGAGTAATATATACGGATATTTATGTCATTACAGTTGACTTGTATTGGAAATTGTTTAGGCACCACGGTGTAAGTATTGTAACACAACAGATTAAAAATCTTTTATTTTGTTGAACACGGGGAACGTGGAAAATTTGGTGTCGAAGTTTTATCTTGTGAACTCTAATGCGCAGGACTATGACTAGCTAGGACCAGCAGGTGCCCGCCGCACGGCGCCTTACAACAAATCGGCTCATTGTAAGATGTGGTTATTTCATAGTTACTTTTTACAATTCTTTACATCTTTGTTTTCTTGTTCAAAGATGGGCTGACACACGTGCCACTGATCATTCTCTAAGGGCTATGAATGCCTTTGTGTAACTTTCTTTCACGAACGTACTTGATATCCTGTTTGTACTGTTCAAACGACGTTTTTACCAATAAACAATACCCTTTTGGGTAATAAATGCGTTTGATGGTTTGTGTAGCAACCGGTCAAATTGTTTGCATTATGTGATGCGCATTGTATTAGTAAATGGTGACAGTGTATGTTTTAAGATTCCGCAGTTTGCTCTTAAATTGCATTAGCACTGTTAAGAAGTTTGGGGTTTTTTGTAATTTTGACTTCCGCTGTCAATAGTAAAACTGGTAAGACTTTCGTACGACTTTAACCTAAGTAGAAGTTGATGACAATAAACCATGGACAGAAGTCCCTTTACGTAAAGGAGAAAGAACTCAGTAGACAACTCTCAAGTTGTAGATCACATTACGGACTTGGAACATATTTTTATTGATAGGCCTCGTAGACTTTATGAAGTTAATCTTAATTTTTAATAACTGAAAAATATGTACTGTACACATGGCGTGACTAACCTAGATTTTTAGTAATACAGTTCATCTGATTATCTAACGGACAATTCCATCTGTGTTGACATTCACATTTCCATGTTTCAACCTCTTAAGACGGGGAAAATTAATTGATTTTATTTTAAAACACAGTTTTCATCAATTCTCTCGTTTACAGCCCCAGACACCAGGCGGGCAATCGTTAGAAGTTATGTCAGCTTTTTTATCTTTCATTTCTGGTACTTTTTCTCGTTTGCAGCCCCAGACCCCTGGTGGACAATCATCTTCGGTCTTTGTCGCTTCCGTTTCCCGTTTGCAGCCCCAGACCCCTGGTGGACAATCATCTTCGGTCTTTGTCGCTTCCGTTTCCCGTTTGCAGCCCCAGACCCCTGGTGGACAATCATCTTCGGTCTTTGTCGTTTCCGTTTCTCGTTTGCAGCCCCAGACTCCTGGTGGACAGTCATCTTCGACTTTTTTCGTTTCCATTTCTCGTTTACATTTGACTCCTGGCGGACATCCTTCTTCCCCTTTCTCTTCTTTCTTGTTTTCCCGTTTGCACCCCCACACACCAGGGGGACAATCTTCTTTTGTATCTTCAACTGAACGTTTGCTTCTGCCTTGACCTTGACCTTGACCTTTTTGGGAAGACGTGTACCAATTTTTTACGGAACCAAACAGCCCTCTTTTGCAACCCCAGACTCCTGGTGGACAGTCGTTATTCGTAGCTTTCATTCCACGTTTACAGCCCCATACCCCTGGAGGACAATTGTCGTCCTGGTCTATAATCACATCTTTCTTGCAACCCCAGACCCCAGGAGGGCAATCGTGGTCAACTCTCTGTTTGATTGCCAATAAGGCGCGTTTACATCCCCAGACCCCAGGGGGACAGTCAGATTCCCAGGCCCTTCTTTGTCTGCTCAGAGGCTTGCAAGTGGCTTGTTGTGAAAGAACCAGGATTGTTATACTGCTGAGAAGTATCCAAGCCATTTTTCTGAGGGAAAAGAAACGATGGGACATTTTAATTATGCAGTCACTAAACGTTTCTTCACCAGACTTTTTACAATAACATTTGATGTAAGCCCTACAACAACATTTAACGTAAACCCTACCATAAATATTTATTCTGGTAGGCCAGACTGTCCATTGGTTGTAATGCCTTGGATGCGCTATTCGCACGAAATCGCAAGCAAGCCGTATCAATTTAGACGACTTTGCAACTTTTTTAGTACTTTTATCCGAAATAAAAGTATATGTACAACTTTATATATAACCAATAATCAAGCGTTAAAATTCTCCTGGACGATTGATTCGCTTAGTGTTCTGTTTGCTTCGTGGAGCTGTTAGAGTGAGTAATTGCAACTGAAATGGTAGGCCAATGAATTGAAAGCCTAACTGCTAAATTTGGTTTTTAAAGGAACAGTTCCTAGCAAAACATAATTTCCCGAGCGCTTCTCAGCCTTGTGAGAGCCAGTTAAGAAAAAAAAAAGTTGCTAAAAATTGTCGCTGTTTGGAGCAGAGATTGCGAGGGGACACGTGACTCAAACCTTGATCCTGAACTTTGTGAAAGTGATGAATAACAGTAATGCATCGCGCTTCAGTGACAAACGATCATTGAGTCTTTTCACTCATTGCGTCAGAAAAAATAATTTCCTCACAAGATATTACTCAATTCATATTCGATTTATGTATGCTAAGCAGCGGGATACTGATTTCTTCTTTAAACATGTTGCAAGGTACCCAAACAACTGTGTTTCATCAGCACGATTCTTTGCGAAAGTTTGGATGTAACCGACAACACCACAGCATTTTGAGCACTATTTGCCAAAACGGCAAACCACGAATTTTCCAAAAAAAGTTTACTTCTTATTGTTGCATTTTAATTCAGTCGGTGAAATCTTTTTTTTTTAAACGATATTTAGTACTAGTACTGATCTTACTAACGAATACTAAATACCTTTGAAAAACGCGAACTTTTTTTCCTTACGCAGTGCTTTCTGAAAACATGCGCATTGCCTTCTGATAAAAGCCAACCATATTTTTTTCAATCCTAATTACGGACTAAAGATCTCTTAATCAAAAAAATATAGTCATTCTGAATTGACAATAGGTTTTAAAGCCGTTGCCGTTTATTTTATTTGAAAGATTGTTTTATGGTGTTATTGTCAAAACAGTAATTTTTCGAAAAGGAATAGTTGCAAGAATTTTTAAAATACATGTCTTCTGCTTTTGAAATGATCAGCGTGTTTATGCTCCTTCTTACATCAAAAGCAGGATACAAGTGCGATGCTCTCTAGGAATGATATCTTTATACTAAAATCCTGATTCATTTAATTTGACGGTAAACTACGGCATGCATATGAGGCTTGTTTGAGTATTCCTTTAGTTCTCAACAATTAACCGGCGGCAAGTGTGAAGTGGAAGTTTTCCTTTGCAGCCAGAAATTGTTATGTCTGAAAACTTGAAAGTGTGACTAGTTTGTACCAATCCACTTAGCACCAACCGGATTATTAAAAAAAAAAAATGGAATCAAAAAGAAAATGATAATTAGCAAACCACAAGTAGACATTTTGTTGGCAAGCTGTAAAGGTAAAGAATATTAGTTTGAACAAAAGTCGAAAAAAAGCGAACAAGAAACTGAACGCAAACATGGTGAGAAAACGTGTTTTTCAAATCCTTGAAGCTTTTAAATGCATATGATGATACCAGAAAATCTACTTACGTACTGTATTAAAAAATAATGTAACATAAACAAAACTTAACAATGAACATTTACTCTTATTCCTTTAATGTAACAAAACTGAAACTTATCTGACTGTGAATGGAAGTTACTTCTTTTTCTTTGGTAGAGGAGGGGGTGAGGGATCCACAATTTACCAATAAACCAAGCTATCACCAAAAGGACCACGAAAATAAAGTGGCAGTCTTTGAAAACATCCAGTGACCAAGAAGATCAGTTTTGTTTGGACCATTCACGTATTCAGGGGCTATAGGAAAGCCCATTTTCAGGAACCTTGGTCCAACTATTAACGGTAAATGGGTGAAGAAAGAAATCGAAGATTTCCACTTTTTTGTAAGATATGTGGCTATATACAGGTTGAAATAATTTATATAAAAGAAAGAAGAAAATGATTATTTTCTTCGAAGATATGATGGCACAGAACGCGATCTTATATGTTAATTGGACTAGTTTAGGCCAGTAAAATTAACCTTTGTCAGGCTCACCTTGTACAATCGTGCTAGTTCCTTTTGTACACAGTTTACTGAATAGCGTTGAATGTTCGCTCGCTTTTGAAGGCGTCTATTTCGATTACATATCGCCAAACACTGTCACTTCTTGTCTAAAGAATCTGATAGGTGCCCCGTCGTATATCAGATAAATTTAACACCAGTCCACATAAGTAAGGTCTTCTTTTAACGAGTTTTCACTTTTTGGTGGTTATGGTAAGCGTTGATTGGTGAAAAGAAGAGTATGGCGGTCACAACTTAATCGACAGAAGTATAGACAATTACAAGCTTGTAAAATCTCAAAACACGCCAATTAGTACCTTAATTCGTCAGCAAAAGAAACTATCGTAGGGCTTTTTATCGTTCAGGAACAAACCCCCGCAGTCTGAAAAATGTGCAGGCCGAATAGTTTCAACAAAGATAGGAACCTGCTTTCTATATTGGCTTTCACCTGAAACTTTCGTGCTTTTCCCTTTCATATCAATACAATTATCTCTTTATACTACAGTTTAGGATATTACCTTTTGATATTTTAATTGTATTTCAGTCCGTCACAAAGAGAAATTCTTAATTTTAATATGTTGACCGCTAATAGATACAAATATGTCAGCAAGCAATTCCAGCATTCTAAAACGACGTTAGTGATATATGCATTTACGTTTTCAATCGAATACCATTTTTGTTTTAATTATTGAAAATTTCGGCCTGCCAATTTGGATTTTCGTTTTATTTTTTTTTTGTCTTGAAAAGCAGCTGTCGCCGCAGAAATTCGTCAGCTTACCCCGACACCTTTTTACGAGCTTGACAAACTTTATTACTTGGTTTCTGTGGTCAAGATTACACCCACCAGCTTCTTTCAGCAATAAAATGTACAAAATGCCTGAATGACTTCTGGTTATTACTAAAACATGCTTGGTTTAACGTAGTTTGTCCCTGGGAAGGAAGTGGGTTTACAAGACGATCTTTGCCATCGTAATTTACCCCGCTGTAAAAGATTACTACTCTCAAACAGCAGTAGAATTGCGCTAAAAATGTTTCGCTGCCTTAAGTTTCAGCTCCCTTTCTTACTTCTTCCTACACGCACGTCTATAATACGATTTGCTAACCTATTTATTACTGCATATACAGGTATAATTCTTT